GACAAGGCTTTTCTCTATCTGCAGTGGATTACTGTGTGCCTGTAAATCTCTACTGGATTGCTTAATAGCAATGGTATAGTTCAAGTTTAATCGGTATCTCAAGTCCTCTCACTAAGAATAGAAGAGCTTTGATAAGCTTCGATTCTGATCACCCTTTCCTTACATATGTGCTGTGTTGGTGCCCAATATTTTAGTTCTGTCCCTAGTTTCAAACTCCACAAATCATGCATTTTATAGAGATACCATTTCCTTTATTTAAATGCCTGCTTTAAAATTTTTGTGATCCATTCTTGTCTCTCAAACCTTCCTTTTGTAATAATTTCCCCTTTCCCTGAGGGTCATATGGGCATTGTAGTCTATTTCAAAGTATTTGTTTTCGCTCTGAGTGAAATGGGAACCTTTGGCAGCTTTCAGTGGAGAAATGACATAATCCAAGATGTGAATTAACAGGACCAAGCTGGCTGCTCTGCTGCCGTGGGGGCACCCACAGGCGGAAGTGGGCAGGCAGGAAGGGAGGAATGATGGGGCTTAAGCAAGGCTGGTAAGAACCAAAGTACGGAGGAGTGCGTGGATTTGAAGATAGAAACTACAGGGTGAAAATACTTTTTTTTCTACTTATAAATACCTTTACATAGTGTATATATTTTAAAAAATGCCTGAAAGTGGTCAGAGGAAAAAATACGTAATATCAATAAACATGCCATGGCCTTTCTTTCAACAGGGAAGTGTGTGTGAGAGGATTCTTTCCTCTTTCTGTCATAGCCGTCCAGAAACAGTAGTGACGGATCATCTTGCGTGCCCAGTCGAATCTGTTGTGCTCCTGTTGATAACTCTGTTTCATGTTTAAACATATTGTTCTATTCATGTTACGTTGAATTGTAAAATCTGTCTGGAATCAGTTTTGATCATGGCTCATTTGCTACATGGTCTTTCATACTCTGATTTCCCAAATCATTAGCGTTTTGAGATGGGATTCTGGATTTCAGCAGGCCCATGGACTTCAGATTTCAGAAGTAACTTCGGTTCTTGGACAAAGCTTGCAGCTGTCATGACTAGGGACACGGACAACAGCTGTGGTTTTCGAGTAAGCGTGGCTGCCTTCGGTTTTGGAGAGCAGGAAGTTTCCACAGGCTGATCAGACGGGTGAACGGAAAGAACACAGCAGAATGAGAGAGGAGCAGGAGGGTACCAAAGTGTAGGACCCGAGTTGTGGGATTTAAACAAACACACAGCAGTTCCTCAGCTACGAAAGATGAAAAAAAAATTCCACTCTTCTTGCAAACAACAAGAGTACATGTTTAGGAAAAACCTGATCTACAAGAATGGGCCACCAACGATGGGAGGTGCAAAGACAGGAGAGAGATGGTAAATCCAAGAGGACACACAGTGTTTTCCTGGGGGACTTGCAGACAGAAGTGTGCCCCCGGGAAGACTCCAGGCTTGGATTTCCACCCACGAGGGTTTAATAGACAACGGCAGCCCATCGCTAATTCAAGTGCACCTGGGCCTTTTCAAGAAACATTACCATTCTCAAGAGATGTTCTGAGAAGCACAGGAGAACACGTTGTCTTCAAGACGTTGTTCACTCTGTCACAGGGCTCAAGGTGGCACTCAAAGTTACCTGAACGTCAAGATGGCATTATGTCCAAAATGGCACTGGGGGCAGTCTGGGGGGCCAGCATTGTGGCACAGTGGACTAAGCCTCCGCCTCAATGCTGGCTTCCCACATGGGCACTTGTAGTGCTGCTCTTCTTCTACTCCAGCTCCCTGCTAACGCACCTGGGAGAGTGGTGCAAGATGGCCCCGTCACCACAGTGGGAGGAGTGGATGGGTTTCCAGACTCTTGGCTTTGGCCTGGCCTAGCTCTGGTTATTGTGGTCATTTGGGGCGTCAACAAGTGGGTGGAAGATCTCTCTCTCTCTCTTTTTTTTTCTCTCTCTCTCCTGCTGTCTCTGTAGCTCTGCCTTTCAAATGAACACAATAAATCTTTTTTTTTTAAAGTTGGTTTGTGAGGTTGTTGATGCCATGTTGCAGCTAGCTGCTCTTTCTCTGCTTCCTGGGTCGTCGTGTGGTTGTTCCTTTGCACACGTCTGCCACTGCCAGCCTCACCTAAACCTCAATCATGGACCTTCTTGGTGTGGACTTGGAACCTTCGAACCGTGAGCCGAAACCAACCCTTCCCTTATTAAGTTAGCTCCTCTCTGGTCTTCCAGTTCATGTGATGAAAACCTGCTGGTTTAACACTAGCCCTTAGCTGGAAGCACAGTCAGCTTCTGAGAGAGCAGCCAGGAGGGCAGAGAGGAAATCCAGGGGTGAAAACCACAAGCTTGGGGCCGGCGCCGTGGCACAGTAGGTTAATCCTCTGCCTGCAGTGCCGGCATCCCATTTGGGCGCCGGTTCTAGTCCCGGCTGCTCCACTTCCAATCCAGCTCTCTGCTATCGCCTGGGAAAGCAGTGGTGGATAGCCCAAGTGCTTGGGCCCCTGCACCCATGTGGGAGACCTGGAGGAAGCTCCTGGATCGTGACTTCAGATCAGCACAGCTCCAGCCATTGCAGCCATTTGGGGAGTGAACCAACTGATGGAAGACCTTTCTCTCTGTGTCTCCCTTTTACTGTCTGTAACTCTACCTCTCAGATAAATAAATACATAAATAATCTTTATACAAAAAAAGAAAACCACAAGCTTAATCAACGGTGTGGAGCCCACGTGTGTGGGGTCAGTCTGCTGGCCAACACCAGGCAGCAGAAGCAGGAGGAGGCACCTCACATAGGTGAGTCAGGGGTGGCCGTGGGAATTAGGAACACACGATTACAGAGCCACAGGCACAGAGATATTCAAAATAAGGACCCAGAACACAGAACCCAGTGGGAGCCGCACAAAAAATAAGGGTCTGGACCTACAAAGTCCCAGATGAACTTCTTTTCTCGACAGGTAGGTAGTATGTTTCGCTGCCTTTTATCCTTGATTATAGATTTTCCAACCTGGATTTTGAGGTTTTAAGACTTCTGACCTGTGCAAGAGTGTAGCATAAAAGCAGGAGATGCTTTGCATATTACAGGTGCGTGGTGAGTGCTTATTTCAGTCATGCTTGTTTGATTTGGCTACATGTATGTTGTTACATGACCTAATGAGGAACAAATGTGTTGATCAATAGATGATTGACAGGAAGAAAAGAGGAAGGAGAGAGTGAAGACGTTGGGATTGACGAAGAATGAGAAAGAGAAGGAAAGGGAACAAGAGATGTTCAACTTTCTAAGCTCTGTGTCATGATATTTTTTTAGTTTTCTTAAAACTTTTAAAGATAAAATATATTTTGTGGGAAAGTAGATGGAAATAGTACATGAAAATAGTTGTTTTCAATCCCCAACTGGAATCCAGCTACATAATGAAGGCTGAGAGTTTAGCGAGAGACAGGGGTGTCTAAACACCAGAGGGGTGTGTGTGTGTGTGTGTGTGTGTGTGTAAGGATGGCTCTTCACAACTCATGAGCAACAGGTTCACCATGCTCCGGTTCCCGACTTGTCTGAGTGTGGGGAGAACTCTTTCTTTTTCACACACACACACACACTCACACACTCACACTCACACACAATCACACACACACACAGACCTTACGTGAAGCAGGTTCATCACTTGCAGGCAGGCAGTAAGGGACAATTGGGAGCCCACGACTCACAGCCAGCCTGTTCCCCCAAGAAAGGCTGCTTGGAATCCATGGAGTCTCACCTGCGCCTGCCCCACCTGCACGGCAGCCGACCCTCCAGAAAGTGGCCCGCTCGGGGTTTTAGGCGCTGGGAGGGTAACGGGGTCGCTGGGCTAAAACTTCAGGAGGAATTCTGTTGCAGGGGAGGCTGGAGCAGAGCCTGGGCTGCTCCGGTCAGGCCCTCTCTGTCTCAGAATTGTGCACTCCCAGTGCGTCATCCCATCATTCAAGAGAGAGAAAGGAGACGGAACCGGGGCAGGGCAAGGCCACCTGGAGAAACTTCCTGCACCTCGTGGTATAAATTCAACATTGACTTGAAGTGCAGAGAATAAACATCATTATAAGGGTAGGAGCTAAGACGGAAGAATTTACTTTTTATATTCACTGAAGGGGAAGGCCCTATCTATGACCCCAAATCCAAAAATCATTAAAGGTTAATCAAGGATAACTACCAATAAACTCAACATCTCATCACAGAGGTTGCTTGGAGCGAATGACCCATCTGCAGAGGTTGGTCCAAGAGAACTGAACGTCCCGGTGCTCAGAGACAGGGAGACACGGATGGCTCCACGGCTGCCGCTGTGGAAGAAGACAGGGGCATGACTGGGGTGGGGGCGTTGACCTCGCGGTTGGGACTCACACATCCCACATCAGAGTGCTTGGGAGTGATCCCTGGATCCAGCACTGGATTCCAGCTTCCTACTAATGCAGACCCCAGGAGGCGGCCAATGGTGGCCCAAGTGCTTGGACCCCCACTGCCCGTGTGAGAACTGGATTCCTCTCGTGGCTCCCGTCTTCAGCCTGGCCCAGCCCCCAAGACTGTGGGAGTTCGCAGTTTCTGTGATTCCTAAGTACGTAAATAAACTTTTTTTTAAAAAATAGAGAACTTACGAGCTGGCGCCGTGGCTCAATAGGCTAATCCTCCACCTTGTGGCTCCAGCACCCCAGGTTCTAGTCCCGGTCGGGGCGCCGGATTCTGTCCTGGTTGCCCCTCTTCCAGGCCAGCTCTCTGCTGTGGCCAGGGAGTGCAGTGGAGGATTGCCCAAGTACTTGGGCCCTGCACCCCATGGGAGACCAGGAAAAGCACCTGGCTCCTGCCATCGGATCAGCACAGTGTGCCGGCCGCAGCGGCCATTGGAGGGTGAACCAACGGCAAAGGAAGACCTTTCTCTCTGTCTCTCTCTCACTGTCCACTCTGCCTGTCAAAAAATAAAAATAAAAAAAATAAAGAACTTACTCTCTAGTAGCACTCATGTGAAACCAATGAAAACCAATTGGAGACTTGTTTCCATTCAGGCTCCATCAAATACTACCTGCCGCATCTCTTCATTGCAAGAAAGCTACAAAAGGAAGTCACTCCAGATGGTGCTACTGCTTTTCGTCCATTAGTGAGGAAGAGTCCAGAGTTTGACAGTACAGAATGCTGGTGAGTTCCCGAGGGCAAGGTGCTCTTGTACATCTCTGGTCTGCCAGTCCTGAAGCCTCATCCCAGCCACTTACTCTCCCAGACAGCCTTGCCACAGGCACATGGGCAGGCAAATAAGGCCAGACGGGATCTCGCAGGAAGTCTGGGGTCTGGTTCCTTCCCAATAGAAAAGAACCACACGAGAACGCTCTCCACCATAGGACGCTTTTAACTGTGGCGACCCCTATGGGGACAGGACAATAAATACCCTGAATTCGGATTCCCTATGGTACGAGGGTATGTCTGTCTTCTGCGCCAGTTTTAGTTGCAAGGTCTGTTATTTGCAGCTGCAAACATTCTGACTGATATGTACATTTTTATCAGAAAATGTATCAGATGTAAGACATGGAGCCACTTCAAGGTGTATTGTGATTTTTTTGTTTCATGACCACAGGTAGAACTGTCGAGAAGTACGAGGTGAGAGAGGACTGGAAGGGTAGACGTTGCAGTTTCTTCTAGGTGTGCTTTGCTTTGCTTTGACAATACTGTTCCTTACGTGGATGATTTGCGTACATATGGTTTCAATCTTACCATCAAATGCAATTTATGTGCATAACAAATGTTAATATAATTTACTGAATGCATGTGGAATTCAAGAGAAAACAGCTTCTCAGTGAACAATGACAATATTGAGGGTGGTGTCCGTTACATCTCTGTGGATTTATCTATTTCAGATGTCAGCGCTTCTTTGTGATTTGGACCTGAAAAGAAGCAATGAGTCAGAGCAGAATCAGGTTCCCGTCTCTCCTCAGTCATCCAGTGGCCAGCAATTGACTCGTGAAAATCCAATCCATCCATTGGTATTAAACTCTCCCTGCAATATTATCATTGCCTTACAGGACCTGCTAATGTTCCTGTCCAAGTAAAATCATTTTTAAGGTTTTCAGATCTATATTCTAAAGTAATCCTAACGATCTTATTTTTCTCCAAATCTAGTTATATCAACAATTAATTGACAGTTAACAGATTCATATTCAAATAAAAATAGAATTCACAAGGAGGAATTTAATTCAAGATTCCTATTAACCATGACTGAACCAATTGTATTCAAAGACCTAATTGAAATTATGAATTTTCTAGACTAGAAATGATTTCTAAAATGTCCATTTTCTTTTTAAATTTTTTTAATGCATTTGAAAGGCAGAGAGAGAAAGAGAGAGAGAGAGATCAATCTTCCCTCTGCTGGCTTACTCTCCAAATGCCTGAAGCCAGATACTGGGAACAGAGTCCAAGTTTCTTACGTGGGTGTCAGGTACCCTACTACTTGAGCCATCATCTGCTGCCTTCTAGGGTGTGCACCATCAGGAAGCTGAAATTGGGAATGGAACCAGGACTCAAACCCAGGCACTCAGATATGGGATGTGAGTTTCCAAGCAGTGTCTTAACCAGTGTACCAAATACCCCCATTCCCTCAAATGCTCATTTTCAATGAAACCATTAGTATGCCCCTGAAATTGTGCCTAAACTGATATCCAAAACTACAGTAAGAAAATTTAAATATAGGAGAATTGAAGATAAAAACACATAAACATATTATCATTTCCCCATTTCATTTCTGATAGGACTAATTTTTTTATAGTTGAAATCATGTTCCAACACTGATTTCATGCTGCCTCGTATGACTTCATTCCCCTTTTACCAGTGCTTTGATAAGTTTTTAAAATGATTTCTTTAGCATTCCACTGACTGTCACCTTCACACTCACCATGACTCTGGCTTCCTCTGGGTTTAATTTGTTTCAGGTTCATGGACCGCATCACAGTCGTGTTTGGATGAACCTCCTCAGGTAGCTGCATCTAAAGTACAGTGTATACATATACAAGCTCCCCCCACACAAGTGAGCCCCTAGCCTCAATCCCAGCTGCGTCTCTTTATTAAGCTCTCTGTCGGTGTGTCAGGAGGAGCAACGTCTTACCTGCTCTGTTTCAGTGGTAAGCCTTGGCCATCAGCTCATGTCACTCGCCCACCCAGGTTAACTTCTCACTCACGAAAGCGTGCACTGATTTTACAATCCCATTGGAAACAGTCAAACTCGGTTCTCCCAGACTCTTCCCATTCCTATTTCATTTTCTATTTTGAGAGAAAGTGGGGAGTGGCTAACTTGAGCTAAGTAGCACATATGCATTACCTCACATACTTTTTTTGTGTGTGTGGTGGAAGGAAAATCTGTCATTTGTGGCAACTTAGATGAACCTGGAGAACATTCTGTGGAGGGACAGAGGCATAAACAGAGAGACGAACAGCACATACTGCACCTGCATGGGGACTATGGCAAAGCTGGACGCTGGGAAGTGGGGGTAGAACGGAGTTGCCAGGGGCTGGGACAGGATAGGGGTTAGGGCAACGCTACTCATCCAGAGATGCCAGGTTGGAATTAGGCAGGTTTCACAACCTGAGACTTCGATGTGAACATGCATTGTTACTCACGCCCCTCTCTCTGGAAAGTTCCTTAGCAAGAACAAAGGACAACGGGCTGTATCTCAGTCATCTCCCTTTTATCTGAAGGTCATCCTACATTCATTTCCTGGGTCCTGCCTGATCTGATCTCAAGCCTTCCCTGCCGTTGAAGAGCAGACTGCAGCTAAGACGCGGCCAAGTGCATGTCGGTGTACCACTGCAACGTGGCTTACCGCCACTTCTTTAATTTTGCCTACTTCTTAGCAGATAATGTCCCACAAGTCCCCCAGATTTAGATGATTTTAAGGCACTACCAGTATTCACGGGCATTCAGTCGAGTCTTTCACTCGTGCGTCTTCCTAGGCTGTGTTTCCACCTGTGTAGACAAAGCTGTAGTGTGTTCATGACCACCAGAGCTCAGGTGGAGAACAAAGCATTGTTTCATTTAACCAACAAGAACAATAGACTTCCTCAATCTCAACAGGTGTTTCTGCTTGTGTGTGTTTTCCCCCAGTGTCACTCATCTCTTCCAATTAGGAAAATATGATCTGCACTCTCTTTGGGCTCTAAACTTTTTGTTCTCAGTAAGTCTCTGAGCTTTTACTCACTCACAAAATAACCAGGAAGAAAGTCTTTTATTTACACTTCAGTGAAAATAATTGGCAAAGAATTTTCGGTAAATTTGTGCAGAGACACATCTAATTACAGACTTTGCATCATAAGAATTGGTAATTTTGCTAATGATTATAATTATTTTTAGCTCTTTCATATCATTAGCATTCACGCACTTGAATGGTACATGCGTCTGAGTATGGAAAGCAGCCCACATGGGTACTATTTTATGGAGAAATCGCTTAGAGCGAGCGAGTTTCCATTCCCAAATAACTTTCCCCGGGTGCTGAGGGGGAAAGAACTCATTAGTAGTCATGGAGCTTTCCCTGCCGGCCATTTCCATTTCCTGGAGGTAGAAAAAGGCCCCTTAAACAACCATTATGGGTAATGGTAACAAGCAGCGGCACAATGAGGGCTCATCTCCGTGGGCAGAAAGGAGCACCCAAATAATCCAGGATTGTCTGACACAGCTTTATTAGTCCATGTATCCAGTTACGGGGTGTGTGTGGATTGAAAGGCAGTGTGGATTCAAGTTCATTGCTTCTACAGTGTTTCCGGTGTCAGTTGTTCCAGACGCAGTCATTATGTTGTGTTGCGTGACTTCAAGCCTGTTAGTCTATTTCTGGCCATTCTCATGGCTCCAATGCTCTGACCAGTTACATGTCTGTGAGCACAGTTCTGATTACCTGGAAATTATATTTTCCTACCTGCTAAGCTAGTCTGACCCCATTGTTCTTCTTTCTCAGAGCACCGTCCTTCGTGACTGCGATTATTTTTCCAATGGGAAATTCAGGTATTTCTATCCCATGATATATATGAGGGGTCTTCACAAAGTTCATGGAAATTTGTATTGTGAAACAATGGTGCATGACTTTCAAAAATTTTAACACTAAAATTAATTTATCTTTTAATTAGATTTTTCTACCAGCTTTTTTTTTTTTTAAAAATTTATGTATTTATTTGAAAGACAGAGTTAGAGAGAGAGATAGAGACAGAGAGAGAGAGAGAGAGGTCTTCCATCCACTGGTTCACTCCCCAGTTGGCCGCAATGGCCGGAGCTGCACCATCCGAAGCCAGGAGCCAGGAGCTTCTTCCAAGTCTCCCACATGGGTTGCAGGGGTCCTTGGGTCATCTTCCACTGCTTTTCCAGGTCATAGCAGAGAGCTGGATTGGAAGAGGAGCAGTCGAGACTAGAACCAGTGACCATATGGGATGCCGGCGCTTCAGGCCAGGGCTTTAACCCGCCATGCCACAGTGCTGGCCTCTCTACCAGCTTTTTAAGTTCTAATGTGTGTGTGTGTGTGTGAGAGAGAGAGAGAGAGAGCGAGCGAGAGAGGGAGAGAGAGAGCTTATATAATCACTTAAATTTCATTTTGGAAAAAATGAGTATTTTATATATATTAATTTAGTGAATAGATATGCATATAATGCCTTTTGATACACACACATATCAGAGAACTTTAAAAAGTTCAGAGAAATGGAAGTAAAAGATAAATTTATTTTGGCACAAGATAATTTAGAAATTGATGTGGTTTTTTCCTATTTTGCATTTTCCATGAACTTTGCAGACCCCTTGTAGGCACTGATTTCAAAATATTCTCCCACCAAAGTAAACTTTTCATTGAATTCCATTTTCTAAGAACTTCTTGAAGTATGCTGTCATAGCAATGAATGACTACATAAAAATTTATCTATAACATCAGTGGGTCCCTGTGCAGTCATTTCCTTTCTACTTTTCTTACTGGTGTGGGCTGTTTCGTCCTCTTAAAATTCCTGTGCCAAGGCGCAACCCGCAGTGTGCTGGTGTTCGGGGGCGGGACCTCCTGGGCACTTCCTAAGGGGAAGGGCCTGTGAGTAGGACTAGAAGCCGAGCGAGGAGGCAGCCGGCTGAGAAGCAGCGAGGGGCCCTCACCAGGACCCGGTCCGCCCGCACCTTCATCTTTGGGGCTCTCCAGCGTCCAGAAGTGTGAGAAGTTGGCGTCAGCCGCTCCAGCTACCACATTTGTGACAGCAGCGGAGGTGGCGCCGGCACATACTCGGCATTCCTGCTTCTAAGTGGTTTATGGAACCATTGATTATAGAACCGTGAGCTTGTGGAGCCATTTTATCCTGTTCAGAAGAAAAAGGAGCAGGACTACAGAATTCTGGTTGACACACATGGAGGTCACAGAGGCCAGACCGCATGCACTCTGGCACCCTGATTCAGGAAAAATAAGAAGTGATTCCTGTTGAAAGGGAAGATGGAGTCAACACACGGGCACGCACACACACAGAGCTCGTGGGAAGGGGGCATCATTTTTAAATTGAATTTCCCTGCGCTTTCCACAGTACCCTTGGATACGTGCTGTAAATGCGATGTGAAATCTCGTATTTATGCTTGAGTCTCCTTCATGAGCTTGCTGGAACATGTTTTCTGCCATTTTCGATATTTTTTGATATTTTCTGTGTTACATCTCATTTTGGAGAACAAAAATGAATTGAGTTAGGAAAACACAATTACTTCTTGGTTTCTTTCCAAGACTCGATGCTTCATACAGAGCCCTCTTAGTTCTCAGTGTTTACCCTTAGAGGGAAGTCTCAGGAGCTGTAGAGGGTCATAGCAGAGGCTGTGAGCACGCACCAAGTCCACTAGATCAGGACAAGAACGTCCCCCTGAAGTTCCGCCTGCCAAGCCTCTCTCTTCCATCACTTGACGCTTACTTACGGTTAAATATGCTTTGGTCTCATTTCCAGATGTGACACAAAGCAGCTCTCCTTCCCACAGCACATCTCCTGTCCTCTTGACCATTATGGAATCTTGAAACATTTTACTGTCTCTTAATTCTCCCCTTGAAGACGAGTGAGTGAACTCGTCTAATGTGTCTGTGAATGACTGTAAACCCCCAGAAAGCTGAGTAGGGATCTAGCCTCCAATTTTATGGTCTATTGCTCTGTGTGTTCAGAAAAGCAACAGCTAGTTTTGGGTGACCTTGAGGACTTGTATCATGGTAAAGTAAATTTTTCTTTTCTGATCAGTTGGGCTAAGTGTTTTTACACTTCAGATATGCTTAACTTTTATACTAACCAAAGACATGTTATGGCCCTATTGACCACCAGTGTAGAGTTAGGTAAAAAACAAAAATTCATTTTCCATGTGTCGTTTTTGTAATTTCTAAATGCATGTATAATTTAAAAGAAATTTAATCCACATGGTTTTATTTATTCCTTTTTAAATGGTGAAACATTCACTAAAAGAGCTCTTTGAAGTTCAAGGGTATTTTTAATGGCCCATTTAAGCCTTTTTATCTTGAAACTAGGCTTGTGTCTTGCCAAGAATAAACAAAGACAATCGCCTAAAGGTTAGGGTTCAGCCAGAAATTCCAAACTCTCATATTTTCCCCCATGGGTTCTAAACGTAAAAATCCAAAACAAGCCTCCATTCTCTAGCACCAACTAGAAAATGAGCAACTCGGGTGTGGGAAGTGTCCTCTTCTTGATTCTATTCACCTACCTTGAGTTCCTGGCCATGTGCCCTGCCTGCTCAGCAGCGGTATTTATATAGGAGGTGTTGTCTGTTCTGAATTACTAGAAGACTAACCGGCATTTTATTCTGGATTCTCACTTGATATGACTTTATTTGCTTATTTTAATGAACAGCTTATGATTTCTCTCCGAAACTGTAATTTTTATAGTAGAAGAGTTTTATTTTCATGATACTAAGTGCCAAGGATAGAGTTGATGCACTCTGTAAGACAAAGCATGGTGCTTTCAACCTCATAGGTAATTGACAAATTGCCAAATGTGCAATCGTGATGTACTATAAGATATAACAGATATCTTCACCTTCCCCATCCCTATACTTCACCAAGTTGCTTATTATTGTTCTCCAAATTAGTTCCAAGAAAGGCCGCATGAGCACTTGCGTGGGTGTGACTCTTCAATGGTACAGACACACACCATATGGCAGGGGCATCGTGGGTAGGCGTGCTCTCAGCAAGTGAAAATGGCAATGCTAGGATCATCACTTCTGCTATTGGAGTACGAAGTTAGTACAGAGATAAAATGATCTATTAGTGTTATACTATCTTATTGACACTCCTGGTTATCAAGGGCAATTAAGTTACAAAATATGCTCAATGTAAGTGCACCTGATACAAATTTGAATGAAATATAAATCATGGAGTCTGCTTTTTTCTGGTAATGATAAATTTGCAATATTGCCACATGGCCACAGGATTATCTACCGTGAATGGAGGATATCAATCATAAAGCCTCTGTTCATCACATCTGCAAGTTACTCAGCAATAAAATCTTATCCTAATTGATACAATAACGAAACTTGGCAACCCTTAACTATAAATATTGGTGAGAACATAATAGGCCTCTTACGTGACATTTTATAACCTGTATTTTTCTTTAATGACTTTGAGATAACCTATATTACAGGCTGTGCAAACACTGACATTCTGTAATTTTGGGGGCGGGAGTTGTTGGTGACACCAATAACTGAACCCTCTCTAGTTATCCTCTTTTATAAGAGTGGCAAAAATAGTAGGTTTTAAAACTAAGGCTATTTTAACATGCAAATTAATTATGCTTTCACATACAAAATGCATATCTCACTGCATAGTTCCACATGTCTGTGTGTCTCCATCATCAGAGAAATGATGAATTCTATTACAGCAATATTGGGCTTTGCTGTTAAGAGAAACAGTTGAAAATTGTTGAGCTCAGCCACCTTACTTCCCTTCCTGGGTGCAGAATAGAACATCTTTATTTGTGTTTATTGTTTTATCTTTAGTTTCCCCTCCCATATTTTTAGTCTTTTGTAATCCACTTTGCAGGAAGTAATCCTTCCCTACAGGAAGGCTGGGTGCTCATCTCTTGCAAGTTTGATCCGGTGTGGCCTTGACCATGGGGTGGGAATCTTCCTCCATGTGCACTGTAGAACTGGCTTATTTTTTTCCTTTATTTTTTCATCCATATCTTTCTGGTCCATTTGAGTGTGGAGGCCTGAGGTAGGAAAAGCTCATTAGTCTCCATGAACATGTATTTGAACTCTTCCAATAGGCAGAGAAAATGACCCCACTGTGAACACCAGGACATACTGGCACCCTCTCAGCTGCCAATCGCATCAACATTTCACTGCTGCTGAGCCATTTGGACTGGGCAGTCCCCAAATAGGTTCATTCCATGCTACAAATGGGAAAATATGATCCACATCGAGATCCATGGGAGACAGCACATGGCAAAACCAATGTTCTCACTGCAGTTTATGTAGGGCATTCGGATCAGTGATTGTACATCCCAAAGTGAGACAACCATGCCTTGATTTCAAATATAGGTGATGGCCAACCTGTGGGAGAGCTCCTAAAGCTTTCTGCCTCTCTAGGGTATCACAGTTTTAGGAACTGAAGACCCAAGTAAGGGTATAAAGAGGGATGTTAGAGGAGAACACTGGTGTTCTCTGAGTCTTGACACTCTGCTCTTGGCCTCACTCCAAGACTAGTGACAATGGCTTCAGGGGGACCACTGTGAGGGCTTGATATGTACTCACTCATGTTAGAAATATGGCGGTGGGTTAGTGTCTGACATCTGCCTTGGAAATGGAGAGCTTATGACAAGCGGCTGGGTCAGCTGGGGCTGCACAGTTAAGGTCACCGATTACTTTGCCACAGTAGTTTCACTGGAGTCTGGAGGGAAATCCTGATGAAATTATATTGAGGAGAGATGGATGGGTGAGAACGTGTACAGAGTGAATATAGACACAATTTTGGATGAGGCTTTCTTTAAGGGGCACAGAGAAATGGAACAGAGAAACAGGCTGGTGGTGAGTGGACTCTGATATTTTGAGATGTGGTTTCTATGGGAATGATCCAGTGGGGAGGATAATGATTCAAGTAAGAGATGGTGTAATTATAGGAACTGTCTTGGTGTGCCAGAGGACAAGGAAGACAGTGGCCTTGAGTACTGCAGGGAGGAGGGCAAGGAGGCCTCCTTTGATCAAGTTCAACATC